ATGAGGGATTGTCTGTACTCAGATGTGTCTTGTATTTTCTGCAGGATAATCTCTCGGTCATTGGCATGATTCATCAGTGATACAGCTCTCCTCTTCTAACTGGTCATTAAGGAGTCTTACAGTATATCTCTTCCGAGCATTGGGCCTCCTGTCACTTTTGTTTTTGGAGTGTCTGGACACACAGCAAGTCTTGTCTTTCTCTGAATGGTCTTCAGAAGTCCAGAACCACTCTGACTGTCATAAAAATGCTCCTAAACAAAGACAATATAGCAAGGAAGGATCTCTTTCCAGTCAGTTTCATAAGATTAGCAATATTTGATTTAGATCCTCTATTCATGTCTCCTTTAGCTTGGATGTCAACTTTGCCAGTTTTTGAAGTTAGTCTACTTCAGCTTGATAATGTTCAATAATAACTTACAAATCCTTTCCTGGAGAGCGGATCTTTAAGGGCAGGAAACAAGGTGATAATCCCCAGGGCGTACTTCTCCTTAGTATGTCGCTGAGGGATTCTCCTGAAAAACAAAGCTTGTTTCCTATTTATACACCCCTTCATCTGAATAAGAACAGATTGGAAAGATCAATGTAAGATGGACAGCTAATCCTAAAATTTCACATCATAAACATACCCCTCAGACTCAGTCATATGTGCTGTAAGGATGTTCACCATCTGCCTTCTTGAACTGTCACAGATTGTCACTGTGTCCTCATACTCCTTCAGCACTGCTGCCCCTCCTGGTTTCGTCAGGAGAATCTCTTTTATCAACTAAACAGATTGAAACAAACAGCACAGGCATTGTTGATTAGCAAGGAGTAAAAGCCTGAGAGCTGTGTCAAAATACACAATTGACAATCTGTTGGATAATGTCACTGATGATGATCTGCTGTATAATGGCACTTGTGATATCCATAACAAAGTTGGTGAAGGATCATTTTGATTCAGAACAAGGTGCCTTAATCACTGGCAGGTGAACTCTGCAACACCTCTTCGATTCTTATCCGTTTCGGGCTCATCATATCACTGTCACTGTCTCTACTGCTATAAGTCTGGGACAGTGTATCTGTCAAGCTGGGTGATGACTGGATGCTTGGTGTATCTGAAAGACAAAAGAATGAATTACACCCATTGTCTGAAGTTTTGTTCACCAAAGGTTTGATAAGCTCTCCAGAGCAAGTTGTAGCTGTGAAGCACAGTTACAGTTCAAAATGAAAGTTCTAAGTGTACACTTACCATTGCCATTATCATCGTCCTGGATGAACATATGTCTTTTGAGGTCACTAGCTCTGCAAACACATTCTCATCCACCTCTGTGCCAGTCTCATCTTCCACGGTGACTGTTTTATCCGTGGGAATGGAAAACTTTTAATTCTCTGAGTGATAACAATGAGTTTGAAAGACAATGAGTACATTTGAAGGATCTGAAATTATCAACCCAACCATATTTCCCCATTGTCGACTATCTTAATGGCAGGTGGATGATGGTGTATCATTCTAAATAGTAAACTTGCCTTCAGAGATTAATTCCTGAAAACAAGGTTTGGGAAGGTTGATGTATTTCCTGTGTTTCGGTACTGTACTTTGTTAATCATTCTGGTGTCAACTTCTGTTCGAGGCTGTGGAGGAAAGAGAGACAATAGGCCAACACATGCATTTCATCCATTTTAGTTCCTGTCTTCAGAATGTAGTGTAGTGGAAATTGTAAGAACTGTGCCTATCATGTTACCTGCCTGACCAAAATTAGCTACTTCAGTTACATTTGGCAAACTCTGTTATCTTTCCATGAAACGCACTAACAAAGACATTACTGGGTCAATCAACTAATCTAACTCAGAAAAACCTCCAACTTCACCCACACCGACGTCTCGCTTCCAGACAAGCTAAACACCTTCTTCACCCGCTTTGAGGATAACACAATGCCACTGACGAGGCCCACTACCAAGGACTGTGGCCTCTCCTTCTCCATGGCCGACGTGATTAAGACATTTAAGCATGTTAACCCCCGCAAGGCTGCCGGCCCAGACGGCATCCCTAGCCGTGTCCTCAGAGCATGCGTGACCAGCTGGCTGGTGTGTTTATGGACATATTCAATCTCTCCTTTTCCCAGTCTGCTGTTCCCACATGCTTCAAGATGGCCACTATTGTTCCTGTACCCAAGAAAGCAAAGGTAACTGAACTAAATGACTATTGCCCTGTAGCACTCATCTCTGTCATCATGAAGTGCTTTGAGAGACTAGTCAAGGATCATATCACCTCTACCTTACCTGTCACCCTAGACCCACTTCAATTTGCTTACGCCCCAATAGATCCACAGACGATGCAATCGCCATCACACTGTACACTGCCCTATCCCATCTGGACAAGAGGAATACCTATGTAAGAATGTTGTTCATTGACTATAGCTCAGCATTCAACACCATAGTACCCTCCAAGCTCATCATTAAGCTTGAGGCCGTGGGTCTGAACCCCGCCCTGTGCAACTGGGTCCTGGACTTCCTGACGGGCCGTCCCCAGGTGGTGAAGGTAGGAAACAACATCTCCACTTCGCTGATCCTCAACACTGGGGCCCCACAAGGGTGTGTGCTCAGCCCCCTACTGTACTCCCTGTTCACCCATGAGCTCGTGGCCAAGCACGCCTCCAACTCAATCATCAAGTTTGCAGACGACACAACAGTAGTAGGCTTGATTACCAACAATTACGAGACCGCCTACAGGGAGAAGGTGAGGGCTCTGGGAGTATGGTGCCAGGAAAATAACCTCTCACTCAACATCAACAAAACAAAGGAGATGATTGTGGACTTCAGGAAACAGCAGAGGGTGCACCCCCCTATCCACATCGATGGGACTGCAGTGGAGAAGGTGGAAAGCTTCAAGTTCCTTGGCGTACACATCACCGACAAACTGAAATGGTCCACCCACACAGACAGTGTGGTGAAGAAGGCGCAACAGATCAGGAGGCTGAAGAAATTTGGCTTAGCACCTAAAACCCTCACAAACTTTTACAGATGCACAATTGAGAGCATCCTGTCGGGCTGTATCACCGCCTGGTACGGCAACTGCACCGCCACAACCGCAGGGCTCTCCAGAGGGTGGTGCAGTCTGCCGAACGCATTACCGGGGGCAAACTACCCGCCCTCCAAGACACATACAGCACCCGATGTCACAGGAAGGCCAAAAAGATCATCAAGGACATCAACCACCCGAGCCACCGCCTGTTTACCCCGCTATCATCCAGAAGGCAAGGTCAGTACAGGTGCATCAAAGCTGGGACCGAGAGAATGAAAAACAGCTTCTATCTCAAGGCCATCAGACTGTTAAATAGCCACCACTAGCACATTAGAGGCTGCTGCTGCCTATTGAAATCACTGGCCACTTTAAGAAATGGAACACTAGTCACTTTAAAAATGTTTACATCTTGGACTGTGAGGGAAAAAAGCATTTGATCCCCTGCTGATTTTGTACGTTTGCCCACTGACAAAGAAATGATCAGTCTATAATTTTAATGGTAGGTTTATTTGAACAGTGAGAGACAGAATAACAACAAAAAAATCCAGAAATATGCATGTCAGAAATGTTGTAAATTGATTTGCATTTTAATGAGGGAAATAAGTATTTGACTCCCTCTCAATCAGAAAGATTTCTAGCTCCCAGGTGTCTTTTATACAGGTAACGAGCTGAGATTAGGAGCACACTCTTAAAGGGAGTGCTCCTAATCTCAGCTTGTTACCTGTATAAAAGGCACCTGTCCACAGAAGCAATCAATCAATCAGATTCCAAACTCTCCACAATGGCCAAGACCAAAGAGCTCTCCAATGATGTCAGGGACAAGATTGTAGACCTACACAAGGCTGGTATGGGCTACAAGACCATCGCCAAGCAGCTTGGTGAGAAGGTGACAACAGTTGGTGCGATTATTCGCAAATGGAAGAAACACAAAAGAACTGTCAATCTCCCTCGGCCTGGGGCTCCATGCAAGATCTCACTTCGTGGAGTTGCAATGATCATGAGAACAGTGAGGAATCAGCCCAGAACTACACGGGAGGATCTTGTCAATTATCTCAAGGCAGCTGGGACCATAGTCACCAAGAAAACAATTGGTAACACACTACGCCGTGAAGGACTGAAATCCTGCAGCGCCCGCAAGGTCCCCCTGCTCAAGAAAGCACATATACAGGCCTGTCTGAAGTTTGCCAATGAACATCTGAATGATTCAGAGGAGAACTGGGTGAAAGTGTTGTGGTCAGATGAGACCAAAATTGAGCTCTTTGGCATCAACTCAACTCGCCGTGTTTGGAGGAGGAGGAATGCTGCCTATGACCCCAAGAACACCATCCCCACCATCAAACATGGAGGTGGAAACATGATGCTTTGGGGGGGGGGGGGGGGGGGGTTCTGCTAAGGGGACAGGACAACTTCACCGCATCAAAGGGACGATGTACGGGACCATGTACCGTCAAATCATGGGTGAGAACCTCCTTCCCTCAGCCAGGGCATTGAAAATGGGTCGTGGATGGGTATTCCAGCATGACAATGACCCAAAACACACGGCCAAGGCAACAAAGGAGTGGCTCAAGAAGAAGCACATTAAGGTCCTGGAGTGGCCTAGCCAGTCTCCAGACCTTAATCCCATAGAAAATCTGTGGAGGGAGCTGAAGGTTCGAGTTGCCAAACGTCAGGCTCGAAACCTTAATGACTTGGAGAAGATCTGCAAAGAGGAGTGGGACAAAATCCCTCCTGAGATGTGTGCAAACCTGGTGGCCAACTACAGAAACGTCTGACCTCTGTGATTGCCAACAAGGAAATAATATTCAACGAGCTGACACAGTTCTTCGAAAGGAATGGCTTAGATGTGAGTAAAATTGTCTCTGTTGTTACCGACGGGGCTCCGTCAATGGTGGGACACCGCCAGGGCTTGGTAAGCAGGCTTTCTGCCGTTAACCCAGTACTCCTGGCATTTCACTGCATTATTCACAAGTCAGTTTTATGAGCAAAACTATGTGGAAAAATGAAAGAGACCATGGATACTGTGACTCGACTAGTTAACTTTGTCCGTGAGAGCTCTAGTCTGCTGCATCGCCGTTTTAGAGCATTACTCGAGGAAATGTCAGCTGAACACAAGGATCTTTTGCTCCACAATGACGTTCACTGGCTGAGCAAAGGCCGTGTGTTGGAGAGGGTGTGTGACCTGCATGATGAACTTGTGTCATTTTTATCCAGCCTGCAGAGCCAAAAGGCCAGCGACTTTTTGAGCTTTTTAACTGACAACAAGGTGATATCAGATGTTACTTTTTTGTGTGACATCATGTCTCATCTAAATCACCTTAACCTGCGACTACAAGGCAAGAACCACACTGTTGCTGACATGTATGAGGCGATTGAAGCTTTCCGGTCAAAGCTGAACCTCCTGGAGAGAGACATTCATGGGAGAAAGTTGCACTTTCCACGTCTGCGTAAGCATTATGAGAAGCATAAAATGCAGGAAGATCCAGCAATGAAGGATTTTGTGTCCAGGCTGGCAGAAAACTTCAAGGAAAGATTTGAAAGCTCCCCTAAACGCTCAGCTGACATCCTTCTCTTCGTAAGACAGCCGTTTTCTGTGTCAGCTGACGGCCAGTGGATTGCAGAGGCCAAAAAGCTGGTGCCTTCCACAGATGAGGCTGCTCTTCAGATGGAAATCTTGGAGATGGGAACATCTGATTTGCTCAAAGCTCAACACAAGGATGCACTGGTGAGTGACTTTTGGATCAATGTGGTTCCCCAAGCTCGTTTTAAAAACACCAGAGATATTGCAATGCTCCTACTCACGATGTTCCCCTCAACATACATCTGTGAATCAGCATTTTCTTCAATGAATGCTATCAAGAGCCAGGACAGAAACAGACTCTCAGATTCACATCTTGGACAGTGCCTCAGGATTGCCACAACAGAATACAAGCCTGACATCAGAAAGGTTGCCTCATCCCGTCGCTCTCACTTCTCTCACTGATTGGTGAGTGAACCAGATCCAATTATTTTTTTGCTATTTTTCAATCTTCTTGTGGTATAATAATTATTACAATGAAACAACCATTTCATATTTAATAGCATATTTCCTACTAAATATGCTACACAGCTTAAATAAAAGTAAATGGCATCCAACTAGTTAGTAAAATTTAAAACTTAATACACAGCAATAAAAAAAATATACACAAATAAAAGCTAATTAATTATACTGTCACATTAATATCAAACACTTTTGGTTGTTAACAGCTTGATATTATTTGGTTCACATATTTTAAAAGTTTAAAAACGAATGTGGCATATTCTGATAACTAAAAATCTCTGTCTGTCTGTGTTTGTCCTTCTGTCTCTTCTCTTAGAAAGACCGCCTGAACGCAGATATCCAAAGCATGGGTGTTCCAGACAGAAGTGGGCGCTGTGTGTGTGTGTGAATGCGTTTGCTGGACTTTTTGTTTGCTGACTGTTTGCACAGAATATGGTCCAGGGGCATTTCATAATTAAATAGTTGTTTTTGGACTAATTTAGTATTTTTCATTTTTCTCTTTTGTGACTCCTAACACCACTACTAATAATTATAAAATCACAATAGAAGTGAAAACTGATAAAACATAAAACTGTTGCCAAAAAAACAAACATGTTGGCCCTCGGCTTGGCATGCCTGACCAAATTTGGCCCTTTTGGAAATCGAATTGGGGAACCCTGGTATAGAGTGTATTTCTCAATGCATTGCCACCTCTGACAGTCCATCTGACATGGTGACCCTTTATAGAGTGACACACACATACGCGCACACACACGCATACATGTACACACACAACCTGTCATAGCCTGTCGTAAAGTGCAAGCTCAGCATTTAAGCAATCACAGAGCAGCTCAAAACACACCACCGAGCCTTCAGGTAGACAGACAGACATGCACACACTCAGAAACCTCCTAATCGATGGCTAGCTAGCTTTTTCTTTGGTCCGATTGTGGATCACACGCATTATGATGTGTACCGTCACCGGCTTTCACGTTTGGCTCAATTTGTTTTTGCCTGGGTCTTTTTTTCTCTCCCTCCTGTGGTCCTCTCATCTCATTACACACTTTTCAGGCTTTGTGTTAAATTATGTATTAAGGTCAGTGTCAAAACATGGAAGATGTGTAATCTGAAGGAGGTTCCCTTTTATTCATTGTTACAGTGAAGGCTGAGCACAACTGTCAGCCAGCTGCTGAAGTGCTCAGCATGGAAGCTTGTGTGCTCAGCAGGGCCCCTCAAAGCCCTTCTTTCTCTTTCTCTCCTTCTCTCCTTTTCTCCTCTCCCTCGGCTTCCTCCTTCCCTCCCACCTCCTGGTCGGACCCCTGATAGATTTACCCAGCTAACCCATCTCTCTTCTACTGCACCAATCTGAGAGCTGTCAAGTGCACCTATATGCCCATGTCATAAATCTGAGGGAAAATGTGTACCCCCAAGACCAAGGAGGAAAAGAAGGAGGGAGAGAGGGAAGAAGGGAGGGATAAGGAGAGAGACAGGTTGGGAGAGGGAGATGTCATGCCATCAGCTTGTAGTTTGGGGAATTTACCTAATGGTAATGTTATTAGAAAACAGGTAGGCTAAACTGAAGTGTAGGCACTCACAAAATGTTTTGTGTGGACGAAAGAAAGAGAGAGAACGTGCGAAAGAGAGAGAGAAAGAAACAGGGTTGTCAGTGTTACGTCCCTCTACCTACAGTTGAAGTCGGAAGTTTACATACACCTTAGCTAAATACATTTAAACTCAGTTTTTCACAATTCCTGACATTTAATCCTAGTAAAAATTCCCTGTTTTAGGTCAGGTAGGATCACCACTTTATTTAAAAAATGTGAAATGTCAGAATAATAGTAGAGAGAATGATTTCTTTCAGATTTTGTTTCTTTCATCACATTCCCAGTGGGTCAGAAGTGTACATACACTCAATTAGTATTTGGTAGCATTGCCTTTAAATTGTTTAACTTGGGTCAAACATTTCGGGTAGCCTTCCACAAGCTTCCCACAATAAGTTGGGTGAATGTTGGCCCATTCCTCCTGACAGAGCTGGTGTAACTGAGTCAGGTTTGTAGGCCTCCTTGCTCGCACACGCTTTTTCAGTTCTGCCCACAAATGTTCTATAGGATTGAGATCAGGGCTTTGTGATGGCCACTCCAATACCTTGACTTTGTTGTCCTTAACCCATTTTGCCACAACTTTGGAAGTATGCTTGGGGTCATTGTCCATTTGGAAGACCCATTTGCGACCAAGCTTTAACTTTCTGACTGATGTCTTGAGATGTTGCTTCAATATATCCACATAATTTTCCTTCCTCATGATGCCATCTAATTTGTGAAGTGCACTAGTCCCTCCTGCAGCAAAGCACCCCCACAGCATGATGCTGCCACCCCCGTGCTTCACGGTTGGGATGGTGTTCTTCGGCTTGCAAGCGTTCCCCTTTTTCCTCCAAACATAATGATGGTCATTTTAGCCAAACAGTTCTATTTTTGTTTCATCAGACCAGAGGACATTTCTCCAAAAAGTATGATCTTTGTCCCCATGTGCAGTTGCAAACCGTAGTCTGGCTTTTTTATGGCGGTTTTGGAGCAGTGGCTTCTTTCTTGCTGAGCGGCATTTCAGGTTATGTCGATATAGGACTCGTTTTACTGTGGATATAGATACTTTTGTACCGGTTTCCTCCAGCATCTTCACAAGGTCCTTTGCTGTTGTTCTAGGATTGATTTGCACTTTTCGCACCAAAGTACGTTTATCTATAGGAGACAGAACGCGTCTCCTTCCTGAGCGGTATGACGGCAGTGTGGTCCCATGGTGTTTATACTTGCGTACTATTGTTTGTACGGATGAACGTGGTACCTTCAGGCATTTGGAAATTGCTCCCAAGGATGAACCAGACTTGTGGAGGTCTAGAATTTTATTTCTGAGGTCTTGGCTGATTTTCCCATGATGTCAAGCAAAGAGGCACTGAGTTTGAAGGTAGGCCTTGAAATACATCCACAGGTACACCTCCAATTGACTCAAATGATGTCAATTAGCCTATCAGAAGCTTCTAAAGCCATGACATCATTTTCTGGAATTTCCAAGCTGTTTAAAGGCACAGTCAACTTAGTGTATGTAAACTTCTGACCCACTGGAATTGTGAATTATAAGTGAAATAATATGTCTGTAAACAATTGTTGGAAAAATTACTTGTGTCATGCACAAAGTATATGTCCTAACCGACTTGCCAAAACTATAGTTTGTTAACAAGGAATGTGTGGAGTGGTTAAAAAACAAGTTTTAATGACTCCAACCTAAGTGTATGTAAACTTCCTACTTCAACTGTACCTCTACGTTCCTAATTTTTTAAAATTAAATTAAAGGTAAACAGACGTTTCAACATTGTATGTTGACGAGACAACATATTGTCTCTTTTTAGACTTCAGTCTGATGTCCAGAGGAATTTGGTGGCAGCGGTGGGATCTTCCCCTAGCTCGGGGTTTCTCAAACTCTGTCCCCTACTGAAATAATCAACTAATCATCAAGCTTTGATCATTTGAATCAGCTGTGTAGTGTTAGGGTAAAAACCTAAATGTGCACCCATTGGGATCCCGAGGACCGAGTTTGGGAAACGCTGCCCTAACTACATCTCAACTGAAACGCAATGCTTGACCTCATGTTTCTCAAAAGCTGTCAATCAAAGTCATAATCCCTCACACACATCATATATTTACTGACAGCTGGTAAACCCATCTTTGAAGCGTGTAGAGTGGATTTAACCTTATTGGAGACTTGTACATTCCCCTCAATAGGCACACATGGAGCTGGGTAACAGTTTGATGAACCAGCCACTGCCTGTTGTCAGGCCACTGTTATTATTTTCTGATTAAATTAATGCAATTATACTGCAGCCATTTACCATGCCACCAGCACACCTGAGAGACACTCAATCATGTTAACAATTTATACAATTACCTGAACTCGGCCTATAATCACAGCATATATATTTAGTATACTTAGTGTATTTAGTATACACACAAGCACAAATGCACACACACCTCTCCTATTGTCTGCAGGAAATGCATGTATTGGTCGTCTAAAAATTACATCACATTGAAATAAAGAGTCATTGTTCAGATGTGTTATTTCTCATTAAAACACAACAGAACCAAAATACTTCATAAGCGAGAGATGTCAATGAATGTTCCACATCAAATATAATTATTCTACTCGTGGCAGGCAAATCACAGAGTCAATTAAAAACACTGCTATCAAAAGCTGTCTAATCCATTTTGAATTCCAATTTTTGTGAAGTGTCCATTCAGTGTTATTATCTAAAATAACAAAGCCAAGGACATTTTCATGATGTTCCTAGTTCATATCCCACAAAAAATGACTATATAAGCGAGGATCATTTTAGTTTGGGTAAGCACAAGGGACAAGGCCTAGATCCAGATCTCAAGAGTGTCTGGTTTCAATATTGCCTGTCCAAATCAATGAGGATGAAAATCATCTGGGTTGTCATGGAATACCACAGAGGCCCCCGTGCACACTGGAGCTTCTACAACTGTTGTACCACACATTTGTCCCAACGGTTGTGGCACAACAGATTATTTTGTGAATGTAAACACTTCAAAACGCTTACAGAACAGTTATGAAAAAACACTTACAGGGGGTAGTTTAAAATGCTTCTGTTAGTAGAGCGAGTGGAATGTGAACACTCTATAACACATTCACAATTTACGCCCATACAGTCCTAAGGGAAAACCTACATATCTTAAACAATAGACGTAGGATATGTGTTTAAAAACTAGCAAGCAAGATAATTACTGTATGAAATTAGTTGGAAGGACGCCTTCCATCCCGCAAAGATTGCTGAGTTGATTCCATTGGACTCAAAAGAGAATTAGTTGAGGGTAGACTCCTTAGCAATCAGCTCCCCACCACTATTACTCAGATATAACTAGATCCAATGTGTACGCAGGGCAACACATTTTGATAAG